AGTGGTCCGACGCTGGTGTGTTTTGTACATTTTGACTTGGAAATGTGCTTCGCGCCACAACGGCGTGCACTTTTTAGACATCCGAACCTCCAAAAGTGGTCCGAACCCCTGTTTTTTTTAACATTTTGACTTCGAAATGTGCTTCGCACCACAATGGTGTGCACTTTTTCGACATCTCAACTTCCAAAAAGTGGTCCGAGGCTGGTGTGTTTTGTACATTTTGACTTGGAAATGTGCTTCGTGCCACAACGGCGTGCAATTTTTCATCACTCATCTGGCCAGCTGGCTCCGCACCCGCCGCTTTAGCGAGCCTACTTTTCGACCCTCCGGAGCCCCAAATCATTGGAAAAACACAGTGTTTCGCGACTTTCCTACCTTTTCGAGCATCTGCATCTTCTTTCTTCTTACTCTTTCTCTTCTACTCTTCTTTCTTCTAATCTTCCTCTTCTCTCTGCCTCTTCCCTGCTCTGCTTTTCATCTGTCCATATTGTCGGAAGTTTGACTTCTAAACTTCCTTCGATGATGATTCGGATGATCTTCACTGAAATTGATGATTCTACGCTAATTCTGATGATTCTGACGGTTCTGATGATCAAATAATAGCATTACCTTGGCTCTGCACTGAAATTCGCATTTGTCCTAGATTCTGAGACTTTACCTCAACAAGCACCGTAACAAATCTCTGGCTTTTCGAGAGGAATCATGGATCTGAGACCACCCCAGCCTTCTTCCACAAAGAGATGCCAAGGCGAAACCATCGTCGCTATTTCCTCACGAGAGAGGTGGTGTTGGCATCCAACATGGACACTCCGAGGGAAACATGTGCCTTACACCATGTAGCACCGTGTGACGCCCGCATACTTGCACATGGAAAAAAATGTCCATGCATACGCAAATGAAAACACAAATACCAATTATAACTATAATTATATAAACACGCCGTCCCTTTAAACTTAGAGAGAGGGTAGTCATGGGGGATGCGGTTTTGAAAATTCTGACTTTTTCGATGGATTGATGGCAAACTGAAGTAAAACAAGTAATCGGCCAATCGAGATGAAATCGAGAGAGGACAGAAAATTAAAGAAACACAGGCTAAGCAAAACGATTCCCCTCCCTACCCACCTGTCCAGCATGAATCCCGCCAACTGGTGGGCTGTGGGCCTCTTTGCCGATGAGGTTGTCCGGGCACCTGCGCAAACGATGCCATGTGATGCAATGGGTGTCTGCGATCGGTCGTGACTTAGCTCCTTGTTCTTGCAATTTTTGGCCCCCGCAGGAATTCTAAACCGCATTTTTTGGCTTCTGCGCTCCCAATCCTGCTTTCATGGCCCTAGGCTTTTACAGCCCCGGACTTTCAAGAAGGACGCTTTTTCATAGCTAATCTTCTGGGAACATGCGACGCTCGGAAAGAACACAATCTTGAAAATGGTCCCAGGTGACTCCGTATTCTCCTGGGTCGTCGGCCAATGCTGCTTTGTAGATCATAGATCCAATGCCGCCAACCTCTTGTGCCACACTCTCTGGCATCGGACCACCCGGGACAGTCAATCGGATTGCAACATCTTTCTTCCCCAGGCGTAGAAGATCAAAGAACAAAGCAATGACAGCAGCGACAAAGAAGTCGACGTCTAGGGTAATCATTGCAGCACTCTTTGAAGATAGAAGGGTGGCACGTTGAGCCCCCCCATGCCGGTAAGCTGGAGGCAGCGCCTGCAAATTTCCTGTGTCATTGCTTGGGGCCATGCTCCAATCAAGAAATCGTAGCTCACCGCCCGCCACCACAATGTCATCAAAGTGAAGGTCCCACAAGATGAACTCATTCGAGATTGCATGGGAGATAGCGTTGATGGCAGAAACCTGCCAGTGACGCGCAGTCCTTGAGGCTGCTGTTGAAGCAACCCTTCCGACAGGCACCCCGTCCACAAATGGCCAGACCGTAGCGCAGCCTACCGGATTGGCCGCCCACCCAACGGGCGCAACGAAAAGTGGATGGGTTGGCAGCTGCATGGACCGCGCAAAGTCACCCAAGACTTGCTGGCAGCATGCCCCGAAACCCATGAAGGAGTCGCCCCGCGGTCTTTTAGCCACTAGCCCATCAGGCCTGACCCACACTTCCCCAAACATGCCCCGGGCGAGGAAATGGCTTCGGTCTGCCAACCCAGGAAGCTGCAAGCTGTGGAAGGTGCGCTGCAGTTGGCCAAGCTCGTGGTTCTGGTGCTTCTTCAGGAGGCGGCATTGGCGGCAGTGGAGGGCGCCCTGGCAGAGGTTCTGCCAGACGTGCCCTAGGTGCTCTGGCTGCATGCCCGCGCCATACCTGCACTGAGAAAAGTCATGCCTTCTCCTAAAACACATCCTCGGTGATATGCGAACAACTTTTGATCGGGTGCCTTTTTGCCGAATGCGTAGTGAAGAGTTGCCGTGTTAAATCCGGTCTGGAAGTTGGGGCAGTGTTGTGAGGTGGGTGGTTTTGTGCTCGAAATGTGGTCGCCGTCAGGGTGAAATTGGGTTGAAACCGGGTCGTGGCTGCACATTGGTGCTCAACCCTAGCGCCCCTTCAAGTGACACACTGCCTCCCCAAATTTGGCTTGTGCAGTGCAATAAAGTGTGCACCACAGTGTACATACATGCGTGAATCCCTCAACACAGGAACAACAACCCCCATCACACTTCACTCAGATTTCATCATCATTACTGGGTACTTTCATGTTTTAATGCTTGTTGTACCTATCAGGGGGGCGGTGGGCACATGGATGGCAGGGCCAGCGAAGACCCATCCATGATGTCCTGACAGGTACCTGCACTTTTGCTGGTGGCAACTGGCTGTGCTTAGAACCGCCATGCCGAAGCTCACGCATTTCAATTACATGTTTCTATGACCATGGTTTTCGGACTGACGCGCACGGATTTCCGATCTAGAAGCAGAGATGCTTTTCGATTCCAGGCATTTGGTTTGACCGATTTGGTTTTCATGATTCTTGCCGGAAAATATAAATCAGACGGAATTGCATGGCCATTGTGGCAAATTTTTCGGCTTCGGAAAATTGCAAGTGAAGGCTGCCGCGAAGTACGCTTCAATTTGAATGGATGTTCTGCGGTGCTTTACAGGCTCTGTGATTTTGCTTCTTGCGACCTCCTAATTTGTTGCATGTGGGTACATGCGGCAGGCGGGTCATGCATGATGACACCTCCGGCCATGTGTGCCCGAAAGTGTGCACTATAACCTTTACACAAGCGTGCGGCAAAGCGTGCAGCAAAGCGTGTGATAAAGTGGGCACTCAAGTATGTAGGGCGGTGTGGTGTGAAGAGTGCAGTAAAGTGTGCAGCAAAGTGCTAAGCACAGAGTGCAGTAAAGTCCAGAATGGGCCACAAAAGGTCTATTGAATGGTTTTTGCAAAATGGGTGGGGTTGTTGAGGATTTTTTTGCGCAACCTAGATGCACAATGGAATTGGAAAACAACATTGCCAAAGAGATCGAGTCATTGTCCACGATAGGCCCCGTGTTGGACGAACATAGCCCCAACATGGACCCAACAGGCTTAAGATAGGCCCATCACAGGCCCAACATGAGCAACAATGGTGGATAATCGGCACGGATATGGAGATGGGGTCAATTTCGGAAAACAAATTTTCGGAAACGGCACGTGCAACAAGCAAAGGTTAGTAATCGATCCTGCCCTTCCTGTGCGGGCAGGTTTTGTCGGGAGCCACCCAAATAAAAAGCAAAGGACTGAAATCTTTACCGAGCCCCATGGCTTTGTCTTTCGCTATTTTCCTTCAAGTTCCTAATGCTTCCTTCCTGCAGAGGCGGTACCACAGAAAGCATAAACGCATCACAAAGCAAAGCCAGCACCAGGTAAAGATATGTAAAAGTCAAATAAAGTGCGGCCCAGGATACCTTCTGGATCTGCGCTGCAGCACGAACAGCATCACGAACAGCAGCCGATATTTTGCCCCCACCAGCTGACTTGCGCCATCCAAGCAACATAGGCTGCAGCGCGGCATCCAAATCCGCATTGCCCAAGAAGTCGTCAGCCCCTGTGGGGTACAGCTTTGCAAGCTTCACTGAATCTGCATGCACGCACCACGCCACCAAAGAAGATGTGAGCCACCGACAGGCTTCCAGAGTTGCCGCGCTAATTTCGAGCATCTCACCAGGTGTGTTTTGATGTGTCTTGTTTCGTGAAGCTGTCATGCACAGAGAAGCTGGAAATCAACTCAAATGATATCAAGGGTTGTGAAATGACCAAAAAGAATTGTGTTTGTGCTTTTTCTGTTTTCGGTATGTCGGTGTATCTTGTGTGTGTGTTCTTTCGAAGTACCTGCTGCCGCTTTGGACAAAGTTCCTGCCAATCCAAGACTCGGCACATGGCCCGAGGGCTAGGCCTATACACATGCCTGCATTTGTATGACAAGCAGTGTTGCACTGCAGTTTGTACCCATAGCTGACAAACACCTCCGGATTGGGAATCTGAAGCCGGAGTCGCCCGGCCTTCACCAAGACTGAATCAAAGGCCATCGTCAAGTTCCACTCCTGGACGTCTCAAAAATGGAGCCAATCTCTGCACCCATCGAGCCTGCACCTCTGCACCCTGCCTCTTGCTATGCGGTTGAGAAGCCCGAACTGATCAAAGTATGCATCCAAACCGTATAGTCAGTGTTGATACGCCAACAAGGCTCGCTCTGTGAACAGTCATCTTTTGCTAAGAATCCCATTTAACATGAATACCACCAAACAAGGTCAAACAATCCCCACCTGGGTTTCACAAGCTCACAAGGGTTTCAATCTTAGTTCATGCTTTGCACGCATCAAGTCTTTTCAAAGTCAAAGTATCTCTTGGATTTAAGTGATGAAACTGTTCATGAAAATTGACTCACGCAACAAGGACAACCAAATCACCCCTGAACATGCACGTGCGCGCGCCTCCTTGCAAAAACACAACACGCACGCAATCACATACATGCGTTGTAAGACCGCATGAGGAAACTATGAGTCGACTCACTGATCCGAACTGATGGCAGAAAACATTGAACAGCTTTGAGACCAAAAAAACTGGGCCACAATCTGGAGACTAACAATGGGTGCAAATCTAATTTTTCAGGTGATAATCGTCCATAAAAGAAACGTCATGCATTCCAGGCTCCTTACCCATTCTACATCCAATCATCCATCATCCATCCTTTCAATAACAAAGTGCCGCTGGTCGGGAGCCGCATCGCCAGTGATGAGAAACCACCTGATGATGTTATCAACATGGCTATGATTTTATATGATGAAAATAGCCAAGATAAAGATGACCAAGATTATGTTGATCAAGATGTCCATGACCCAGATGTTGGTGATGATAGTGATAAACCTCAAGCTGACCATGATCAAAATACTCATGGTGATCAAAATATGTCCGACAAAAATGATAAGGATAATGAAAATGATAATGATGGTGATGACAATAACAATAATGATGGTCATAATCATGATGATGATGATGATGATGATAATGACAATAACAATAATGATGGTCATAATCGTAATGATGATGATGATAATGAAGATGATGAAGACGATGATGATGATGATGATGATGATCATTACTATGACGATGACGATGACAATGATGGCGATGACGACAATGACGATGACGATGACGATGATGGCGATGACGACGACGACGACGACTACGACGACGACGACGATGACGATGGCGATGATGATGATGATGATGATGATGATGATGATTATAATGGTGAAGTTGATGAAGTCAAACTGTTCCAGCGGTTTTCCGCCATGTTCCATCAAGGAAGGTCCGAGAATCAAAACGGATCATTAACAATGATCTTGAAGTGAGAAGTATTTAAATACACTTATTGCATCCCAATACATCAGACAACCATGCCGCCAAAACAATGCCAGCTGTGAATCTGATCTCCCTGGGTTTGGTGAACTGTTATCTTCCTCCATCCCTCCAGCTGCCCGCGTGCTGCCGCTTCTGCTTTGCTGCAGCATCTTGACCAGCTGCGTCCTTTGCAGCATCTTGACTGCGATGTTGGACAATAGCAAGGGACATGAAAGGACGGGTGGGGGTGTGAACCATGTTAACTTCGGAAGTGAACTGATTTGGGTGAAATTTATTGCTAATGCAGACCAAGAATGAACAAGAGCCTAAATGGAAACAAAGCCATCAAAGTGCCCGCTAGGTTCATTGCACAACGGTAGCTGTGTAGCTGCCTTAGACGCAATATGGTGCAATCAATAAGCGATAAGTGTTTCTGAATGTTCATCATCAACTGTGACCTGTTCAACTCATTCAACCTCTTCAATTCCCACCTCTAAACTCAGAAAAAAACTGACAGGAAATGCACAGGAATGCAGGGATCTTGATGTATTCGACTATTGATGAGAACACAACAGCTCTTGACATTGATCTTTCACTGCCTTTGTAGCCTTTGGCAACCCTTTCCCCTTTGCAATGCAAGCATACCTTTGGGTAATGCATGGCGCAGCTTTTGCGCTGGCCTTTTTCTTTGGTGCAGGGCTGTTGGTTCGTTTTGGATCCTTTGTGGGGGCAGCTGCATTTTCATGTTTTTACCACGGCGACATTTGCCCTGTTGAAAGTATGTGCGTTGGGTTCTTGCCATCTCTTCCATCGACAACTTTGTTGATGAAGGGGTTTTGCTCTTACCACCGCCCTTGCCCTTTCCCGTCTTTTGGGAGTACCAGATCTTGACTTGGGATCCTTGACGTGCTTATAAGGACAATCCTTGCCTTTTTGGCATTTTCCATCCCTAAACTTGGAGCACACTCTGCCACCCTTACCACTCTGGTTGCAGCCACGTGAACGACCTCGATCACCTTTGCCGCGATCTTTGACCCCCTGAGCGGGAGCAGCGGGCTGAGGCTTTTCGGTTTGTTTGTTCTTTTCGGCGGTTCGGTTCCTGTTTGATCGGGGTCTTTCCCTGTCCAGCAGGTCAGGTCACGGATGTTTCGAAGCAAATATGCAGAAGACTTTCTCTGATTTTTCAGGGGCTGTGTCGAATGCCTCAAACGTCGTATTTCGTGAGTTGACATTTTATAATTTGTCTGAATAGGATATCTCTGAGAACCAAATCATCGGGTGTAGTTTCCATACCAGCTATGGTGGCGTCCCATCGGTTCAGAAACCCGTTGAGATCTTCCGCCGACTCTCCCGTCCTGATGACTCCCAACAAATCCTCGACACCATAGAGACTGCCCGTTTCCTCAGACGTCCTGAAAAAATCTTCAAACATCAAAAGGATTCTCCTACCTCTGACAAGGATTTCATTCTGACTTTTCATGTTTGAAATTGTGAATTTTGGTTGCTAGATCACCTTTGGCCAAGCGAGCTAACGCTGCCGACAACTTCTTGTGTCAAGAGTGATGAATTTGCCCGGGTCTTGCAGCTTCTCTTCCAACCTCTCCCGTGGGGTCTTATTGTCAAAGACTTCATTGAGCCAAATCCAAGCCTCACCAGGTTTGTCCGAACATGACTCGACCTCTTCCCTTACGTGATACGCCAATGGCGGTACGCCTCAGGGGCAGGCATGCCGTTCAACTTGATAATCTCTGCCTCCTTTGTGCGAGGATTTTCACCGTCCGCATCTTTTGATGTCGGTCTAGTGATGAGATCCAAAAGCCGTTGTCCGGAAAGGCCAGCACCTATTTCTGCAATCTTGAGTTTGTCGGGTTCACTAGCTGCAAATGTTGGACTGCGCGGGGAACTCGGCCTGCTATTTCTTGCCCGGCCGGCCGGGGCCAGTCTGGCTTGATTCCGGGCGGCCAGGCGTGTGTATGAGCCACGTCCGGCCGGCCGGCCGGACTCAGTTTGGGTTTTGGCCGGCCGGCCGGCTGCCTGGATGCCTTTGCGTTGGCTTCGTTTTTGGCTGGCCGGCCGGCTGGCTGGCTGCTTCGTTGGCTGGCTGGCTGGCTGTGCCTCCAATTGACTAAGGCTTTGGCCGGCCGGCCGGCTGGCTGGCTGCTTGGCTAGCTGGCTGGCTGGCTGGCTGGCTGGCTGGCTCGGCTGGTGGGCCTAGCTACTTGGTTCCGGATATTAGTTAAAGTAAGCGCTAAATAGAAATATGTAAAGGACATGTTAAAATTCTGTAAGCTGTAAGAAAATTCAAGTGAAATATGTGATAGTATGACCGCATAAATGTTAG